TTTCTCCCAAGTAGAAAAATTCAGCTTTTCTCTTTGTCCTCTTATCTCCCTATGTGCTGGTGGGAAAATGGAAGGAGCTACTAGGAAGCGGGAGTGGGAATGGGCATGATAGTATCAGAGAACTTCAAAGATGTCCTGGTGTCAATAGAGGCAGACTATGAGGTTAGAAGATAGGAAATATGGTGTACCTGCATAAGGTAGACAGACGATTCCTTCCAATAGAACTCATGCCAGGAGACCTGTGTCTAGTGGAGAATTGTCTCCAGAAAAGTTTTAAGAATAGGATCCACTGTCTCCAAATTTTTCTTGGAAATAAATAATTCATGATATACCACCATACAGTATGAAACATGGTAGGTCAGAAACTTAAAATCAGCATTCAGCAACTAGATGTCAAGTTTTAAGTGGCTCATTCTATTATTTGTGTGTGTGTGTGTATGTGTGTGCGCGCGCGTGTGCGTGTGCACGTTCAGGCAACTTCTACTTTGCTCTCAATTCTGCTCAGAATTAAGTATAAAAGAATGAGATACAAAATGGCTTTTAAGTAGAGTGACCTGTTTTCTCCCAATGCAAATAATCTTTTGAGTACAAATTAACATATTCTACATAAAGAAAATGGGAAATTAATCTTCATGATGGATGTGGAAGACTGGTGGTAACTGTTGGTCAAAATAAAAAGCTATTTTGTTATAACTCATGTATTTAATAGGAAACCAGAATTTCCAGACTAATGTTACATATTATATTGGCAACAGGAAATAGTTTCTTTAAAAAAATATTTAACATTGGCTGGTACTTTCACTTGTGTTCCCAACACACGACAGCATGGCTTTCTGTCTTGAAACTGACCCTCATTCTTTAAAGTAGAGTTCTGATCTATGGATTGAAGAACACAGACTGAAATTGCTTTCATGCTTATTTAATCATGTGAATATTTTTGAAAAAAATGTCAAAATTGAATTTAGATTATAAATGAATTCATTTGTTCTACAAAAGACCATAGTCATGCTTTGTGACAAATGTGGAAAACTTTAATCTATATGTTTTATGATGGAATCAGAAAGTTTGAAAGAAAAACAAATTTGAAGAGAGAGCAAAGTAAAGATGGAGTTCAGGATTAAAAATTAATCAATATTTTTAAGTGAAAATTCATTCAATTGCTACAGAATAGAAATTGTTTTAAGGCCTGGAATTTCCATTTTTTTTAAACAAATTTACTCAAAGTTGGGAACCTCCATACAATTTGGAAGGTATGTGGCTTATCTTTATTTTAAGTGCTTTGCTACACATTAGCAGTGTGAGATTGCTTCCCCTTGTAGAATGAGGTTAACTACATTTCCTCTGCATGTTTGCTTCAAGAATTACAGGTGCTTCATGTAAGTTCTATGTCAAAATTCTAAGTACCTTGCCTGGCATGTATGCTCAAAAATAGAAGGTACCACAGTGATGATGATGATAATGATGATGATGATGGTGAAGGCTATACCTCCATGCCAAACATAAATTGTATAATCAACTTAGTAAACTGCCATAGAATTATATATTTCCAATCCTTTAACTGCATTTATTTTCAGTAAAAACTAAACCTTCTCATGGAATCTGCTAAGCAGCACACAGACAGTTTTTCAGTAGCAGGTCCCTTCGTGCAGACACTTGAAACTGAGTACTGAGCCACCTCATAGTGCCCATTCAGCCTGCTGATCACTATTCTGTACTCCCTTTAAAATGAAAGAACTAACTCCTACAAACTTCTATATTACTTGAACAAGAGACACAGAGATAGAGAATTCCATGGTTAAAGGGTTGCATTTCTGAAGGGCATATGTGGTTTTCTAAACACCAGACTATATATTTTAAGATGAACAATTAAAGGAACAAAAATAATTTACTTTTAAGCAATTCCCAAGAATCTTACACATGTCATTCTCTGCTGACTTTATTTAAAAACTGTTAGTGCTTTGATTGTTATCAAGCCAAATGGTCTTTGTTCCATAATAAACCAAAAGTGAAAATTATCTAAATACTACAAGACCTAAACGTACTACCTAGGTTCTTTGTGTAGTGCCCATGCCAGCTACCTTTGATGTTTAGTGAGTTTCCAGTGGTTATACAGGACCAAGGCTTACAGCATTATCTGAAAGAATGTGTGAAGCATGCATACAGAAACTTCAAAATACATTTAGATAGAACACCATTATTTAAAAGCTTTCATGTGCCATGCAATTTTATATCACTTGCATGAAGTGAGTGTCAGACATTATATATATATATATATATATATATATATATATATATATATATATATATATATATATAATGTGTGTGTGTGTATAATTCTATATAATTCTATATATTTCTGTGAGGTTTTCTGCCTCTCCAGGTAAGACATTAAAATGTTTACTATCTTTGGAAGACTTCACTTTCAAATTCATGAGAGTAGACATGATGTCATAATGGGATCTAAGTGGAACACAGCATCGTTTTCTGATATGGACAAGAGGAGGTATCTTCTTGGCGATGCACATGTTGACCTGTTAGGACCACTTGTCGAATGTTTTCCATTTTCATTGAGGAAAATTCTCATTCCGTAGTGCCAGAGGAACTCATATATTCATTTCCTTATTATTTTAAGATTCAGCTAAGCTCTACATATGACTCTGCTACATATACATTATTTTATTTTTTCTATACCATAGCTTCACTTCAAACTCAAGTCCCCATTATCCAGGTAGAAAACAGAAAATATAAATGATTTTAGTTAATTCAGATTAATTTAGGTCAGGAGTTTCTCTGTCCACTCAGGGTCTTATTTTTCTACCTGTCTTTTTCCTGAATGTAATTTATATTCTGCAAGTATTGGTGGCAGGAAGCATATGGCTATATTGCTGTGCCCTCTGATATGTCTGCATCCTAATTAGCTTTGGTTCATGCCCATGTTACTGTACCCTTGCTGCCTTTCTGCGGGTGTGGAAGGGGGACTATCTCCTGTTTACTCTAGCTAGGACAGGGAAAAATTCTATAGTTATATCTAAAGACTCACTGTAGTTTGGGAGAATTCTATGAGATTTTCTGCCTCTCCAGGAACCAATTGAGACACATGACGTGTGTTCTAAACCAATCTGAGTTTATTTATAGAATAAATGACATGCTTTATGACCCATATTCAAGGCTACATTAATATCTTAGATACTGCTGTCTCTTGAGCTCTCCTTTCAACCTGGATAGTATTTATTTTGCAAATGAATGAAATATGGTAGATGGGAGTCTTTTAAATCTACTGTTTAACACACAAACTTTATGTCCAAAGTCCATCAGGATTTTGAAACTCAAAATCCTTATATTTTGAGCTTTAAAAACAATTTTCTCTTCTCTTGTTCAGCATTGGTGCTTCTGCTGTGATGACCCTGCCATGAATTTATGCATGCAAAGATCTCGGAGCAGTGAGAGAGCCACAAGTTCACAAGACCATAGCAACCATCAAATCATTACAATGAACAACAATGAAAAACATACAGACTGATATGTCAGAAGAATAACAAACTATGGTGGAATTTTCTTTCACTTTACCAAATCAAAACTCTTGATTAAAGAGGACAAAGAAGAATATGTAATAGGCAGGATACCTGAACTAAAGATTCTTTCTCCCTTTGCTTTATATAAACAGAAACTTTTTAAATAGTCAAATTAGATTTAGAACAGCATTGATAAGTAAATTTCAAATTTTCTCTCTCTGGAACTTTTGATCTTTGATTCTGCAGATAGAGGACCTTCAGTTGAAGCTCAGATGAGGAGGTAGTTAGTAATTATGAAAGTGACTAGATGTGAGGTTTACCTTGTCTGCTTGGGACACTTTGCTTCTGAATAGTTCTCATTCTTTACTGCAGACTTCCAGTAGCTTCCTATTACTTTTCTCCCATAGAATTTGAACAATTTGACAGTCTAACCAGAACCTGACTTCAACCTGCCTTTCCAGGTGTGCTTTCTCAGCTTATCTCATGAATGGGAACCTCCATGCTCACTGACCTTCCACTCTCCTATCAAAAGCTTCTTGAATTTTTCCAGCTCCCTGAATTAAGACAGCCTTTTCCCTTCCCAGGAGATCTCCCTTCCTCATCCTTCAGCAGGGCAAATTACTCTTTTCATTCCAGTTCCTCTTAATGGCTCCTTCAGTCTCCTTCCTTCCCCATCACTAGCAATCTCCAGGCTCCCCATAGCTCTCTTCAGCACTTCCTTAAGGCTGACATGGATTATGGATATTTCTGTAGCAAAAGACCCAGAGGGAGAAAACTGGAGTTTTTAACCTTGTTTTGAACATTGCATCAGGTCATTTTGGTTCTCTTAGCATCAGGCCAGCCTGAGGATGTCTGAACTATCCTTGCACCATTTTCAGCTGGAAGTTGGTTGGTTGAAGTTTTCAGCTCATATGTACATAAATCAAGTCTCGATTTCCAACAGTGCTTGGTACTCAGTAACTATTTTCTAAATCAAATAGAACGGCAGATGAAAAATAAGGAGTGTGTTGATCAATCCCATGGGGCCAATGTGGGAATAAGGATGATGTGTAAATATTCTGGTTGATTCTCCAGATGGGATGTAGTCATGGGGCACCTTTTCCCTTCCCTTTATCTTACCCAGTGGTTGGGATTTCCTTCTTTTATGTCTGCAGAGTGAAAGTTTTAATTCTCTTTTAGTATGATTAAGGAGAGGCACAATATAGGACAGCAAGTTCACAGTGAAGAAAAGGGCTGAAGATTAATCACTAATTCACATTTTATTTGACGAGTTTTGAATAAACTCAGAAAGCCTTGCCAGGTAAAAGCCAAATCAGATCTTTATTTCAAAGATAAAAAGAACACAGTTCCTTGGCAGCAGTCTAAGCTCTTCTAGTCTTTCAACAAGTGGCACTTGGTGTTTTAACTCACTGCTAAGGCTTCAGGTTGCATTACGCTGTCATGCTACTAAAGACTATGGACTTTAAAAAAGAAAAAAAATTAGCTTACCTCCACATCCTTGTTAGCCCATCACATCTGCTATTCAATTATGTGTTCCTTGCTTGTGGGTACCTGGAAGAGTGAGAAAGAATAGAAAAAGAAAACTTAAATATTACTCAACTGCATTTTGTGAAAGGCAAATATTTACAATTTTAATTGATGACAAACACACACTTCATAAAACTATTAGCATGCAACTCCAGCTGCAAAAACTGAACAGCGATATGCCTAAGCTGGTTAGCAGCAAAAAAGTAAACCAATCACATCGACAAAAAGCCACCATAAACAAAAAAACTATATTGAAAAGATCAACGGTTTTGGCATTCATCCCTACCATCAAGTCTTTCGCTTTCTTTTTTGTTTTCCATCAAAATTTAGCTTACTTTTGAAGTTAGCAAGAGTTGCATTACTATTATTGTTAATTTTAGTTCTGTTTATTACCTTGAGGGTTATATATTGTAAAATAATTTTGGTGCCTCTAGTTAATGTTAATTAGTTGTTTTAATAGCCTATAGACCTATTTGTTATGTTTTTGTAGGTTTACTTTTTTAACTATCAGGAACTTAATAACTGAGAATATTTAACATTACTGTTGCATAGGCAAAATTACAGAGTTACTATTAGTGTTACCTGTTTAACGTTTAGTCATCCTTTGAGTCCTGCGACATATTTCCTTAATAATCATCAGCCATCAAGTCTGATAGTCTCAAAAGAAATATCAGCCCTCTAAACTGCCTTCAAGGGCGGTGATATTTAGCACTGAAAATTACAAATAAAGTTTTTGAGGTTGAATAGCAACAACTGGCCAGTGACACTGATGATTTGTTTGTCAAAACAAACTGTTATCAACTACGCAAATGAAGTCCACGCACTCCTTTGAGTGAAAACAATAAAGTGAATCTACGCAATGCTTACATGTTGGATGGGATATTTAATGTGCGGGGAAACTCAAAGGTTGAAGAACTAGGCATTTAGACAGTGGTAAGTGGTAATCTTACCTCTTTATACTCCATTACTCTTTCTCACGAGAGACATGCTAATGCAAACAAGTCAATCAGAATTTGTGTTTAGCAAGATAAAGCTTAGAGGATAGTTTAAAATCCATTTATTATTCTAAATCCATTTTTTTCCATTAACATGTTATACATTAGTGTTTACTAACCATGATTCATGTAACAGTTTAGTTTGTTAACTTTTAAATTATTTAACAACCATAAGTTATTAATACATTTTAAAGTATTACACAAATATCTTAAAACAGGCTTGGGTTCATTTTTGTAATTTTTAAATAGAAAACATTTTAGGCATCTCTTGAAGAAGAAATAAAGCAGGCATTTAAAGCTAGAAAACAAGTAATTCCAAATTTAGTTTTTACAAAAGTTTTCAGCTTTATTGACAAATTATGGCAAACATATTTGACAAATTGTGGTTTCCTATTTAGAGAAGCTTACACATGGAACTTTATGTGTGTTTTTTTTTCTTTTTTAACAAATACAGGTTAAAACACTGAACAAATTCAGTTAGCTACATACATACAGTAGCTGCTTGTTTTCAACCCCATTAAAACAGCATTTAAAATTAAATTTACAAACTTAATATCGAACATCTTTATCTAACTAACAGATATTAAAAGACAGGTTAAAACATCTTATCTACAACTTTATTATCAGCTAGTTCAAAAATCATATTACAGTCTTTTAGCAACCCTAAACAAAATTTCTGCTAGTTGGTTGAGACTCAAAATCTGTCAACAGATTCATGCTCTTTCTTAAAAAATAAAAGAAAAAAAAAGAAAAAAAAAGATTACACACAACAATGAAAAACAACCAAGAGAATATCATCCTACTGAATGGTTTATAAACTATGCTTGCCAATATCTTTTTCAATTTGTTTTGTAAAATAATACTAGTGTCAATGCCACGACAACAGTATAGAGGGAAATACAAGAAATATATGGGAGTAATTATGAGCAGTTATCCCTAGAATAGAAAAACAAACAAAAAAGGACTATTACTTGTCTTGTTGCTGTTTATGTGGAGACCACAGGCTATGAATTGTCTTTTGAGGTGAGGTCACAGGTGAGGAGGACCTTCAATATCTACCATAGGGGTGTTCCCTGTATCCCCCTCTGGCTGACCTTGGCGGTGGTGCCTTTAAGCTGGAGCGGGTTGTGGCCCATTCTTCTGGTGCTATGAACAAGAGAAAGACAGTAACACACACATGATTTCACAGTTAACAACAACAAAAAAGGTAACTTAAGACACAATTAGCAAACCAAGAAAAAGAGATTAAAAAGTCTCACCACTGAAAGCTAAAGCCGCACACACACACACACACACACACATACACTTGTATTATTTATTTTTTAAATATTATTTATAATTTTTTTCCACTTGGAATTAAACTTTCCTAGCTTTTCTCAGAGAATGGAAACTAAAGTCCTTGAATAACTGCACATTTATTATGTTTTAGATTTTAATGCTGCAAAATAGAAAGAGGAGTATCAGTGCAATCCATTCCTCACTTAATCTTCGAATACAGACTTCAAAAATAAATTGGATATAGTGAAGTAATGTTTTCTTAGGCCTTGATTAACTTGAGAATCTACTAAGAATTTTATACAAACAAAACCCAAAATAATTAATGCCTATTCTCTGTCCTATAAACCACCTAATTAGGAAACTTTCTAGGGCGGAATCTACAGTTTGGTATTTTTCCTCTGCTCCCTGGGTGATTCTCAGGTGATCCAGAATTGAGATTCATTGTGCAGACAAAGTGAGAAATGAACAGCATATGCTGCAGAGAAAGTTTTAGGTATCAAAATAAGTAAAGAAAAAGAATTATCACATCAAATTTTCCAAGTAAAGAACTCAGAAAGTACAGAGGTATGTGATACAGGAGGAAAACACATTTGTCTGTTAAAATGCATTTCCATTATCCTCAATGTTATGGAACATATACCCAAACCAAGAAAAAAACATTATTTTGTGTATAATAGAATATAGCTATTGTAAGGTCTCTGTTCCTAGATTCTGGCCCTCCTCCAAAGGAGCTTAATATCAAACTCATAGTGACATTTATGTTATTCCAAAAGCTATATTATCTGCATCTTTCAATCAGTTCTGCACAGAGAACAGATTTTATGCATAGATCTTTGGTGGAATGAAGTGGACATAAAGGTAACTAGAAAGATAGAGATATATTGGCACCAATAGTTGATACAAAGAGTGAAAAGAATGGAAATATCAAATGGAAACTTCCAGAAGACCAAGGACAACTGATATAGGACATTTGTCCCTGGAAAGTTCAATTGCTACTAAAAATTTGCTCAAAAAGATTGCTAAATGGGATGAGAAAAAAATTAATTATATTTATAAGCAAAGGGAAATAAATGCAAATATAGAAAAATAATGGCAAATCTATCAAGGTTGGAAAAAATTGTACTTAGTAGATATATATTAGGTTTCTGAGGATATTCTTTTTCAAGACATTGTTATTACAAATGACAACTAATGATAAATGAATAATTATCTTTTTCACTACTTAAGGTACATACTTAGGTTTATTTCAGTATGTGATAGAATATAAAATAGGAGTGAGAAAATAAATAAGTAGGAGAAATGTTGCCGTTGCTCAGAATAATGTTTACCTAGATCAGGGGTTGACCAACTATGGTATCTGAGCCAAACTTGGCCAGATGCCTGATATTATACACAAAATTTTTACTGGAATGTAGGCATTTTTATTTATATAATATTATCTGTGGGTGTTTGCATGGTGGAAAGTTAGAGTTGAGTCACTGTGACAGAGATTAGACTGCTACATAGCTTCAAACATTTATACTATAGGCTTTTAGAGAAAAGGCTTACATACTCCTGCTCTAGTCCATGTTGTATTTTCTGGAGAGAGAATATGGACATAGATCTTTCTGATATGCTCTCTTGAGGACAGGAATTTAGGAATTTACTGCCAAGCTGCCTGATTTCTCAACATGGATATTTGGGAAAGAATTCCATGTGTTACATCATTGGAATTAAATAAAAATGTCTATGGTTTACTAGAGAGGAAAGCAGAATTTGATGGCAAGCTTGAAAGTACTTTCTTAGCCTTCTGTAAAATGAGCAATTGATCACTCCATATCTGTGAGATACTTGAGAATATGCTAATTTTCTTACCTTCCATACTAAAATATACTCCCCATTTATTATAATTTTTTTTAAACAAATGGAATGTAACACTCCTTGCTGATTGTTGTATTGTTAGAGATCTAGGAATTGTACTGTGTGTGTGCATAGGGTGGGGGTAGGGGTGCATTTCAGAACTGAGACAATAAACATTTAAACTATTCCCCAGAAACAGAAATCCTGAGCCCTTTCTCAGATTCTCAAAGTTTCTGGTAAATATTCCTGCAAAATAACTGAACAGAGCAGAGGACATGAAATGCCTGCCACATCTCACCCCCAGAGGACCTATGTGTTTAAGAACTTAGTGGCTTGGCTTCACTTGACTTCAATGAAAGCTGTGGGGCAGCTAATTGATGAGCAGAAATTCTTCATTTCCTAACTGTAGGAAGTATGATTGCTCACTGCTGTATCCATATAGCCTGGAATAAAAGTCATGTCTATTAAGGGTTGACTGCCATGAAAATCTGCATGAACAAAAGGAGGAATAAGTGAATAAATGTGGGAACTATGGGGCAAAATGAGCTTTCTCTAAGAAAAACCTGAAGAAAACAGCAACAAGCTGAAGTAAGCTGACATTAACTTTAAAAGCAGTATGACTAGATATCTTTTAGATTTGTTATACTCAGATTTCTTACCCAAAAGAGTTTTTCAGCTACCAGAAGTATTTTACTACTGAATTCAATGAAATAATCACAACAGAAACTCACTACAAAAAAGTGCAAAAGAATTACATTCTATTGCACAAAAATGTCCCCCTTTGTAGTTCTCCATTTGTATATAAACCAGTACTATTTTTTTCCCTCCTTGCTCGAGGCTAGGGAAGTGAGATATTCTGTTAACTTATAAAAATTGTAACTAGGAAGACAAAAAAGAAGTTAAAATGTACTCCTCACAGACAAAGGGGAGTTTTAAAATTTCCAAGATTCCTCACAATCAGCAAGAGAAACCAAGGGTTTATTTCACTTAATTCAGATTTTTCTGTTGTTTACATGTTCTCAATAACAGTGGTGAGCAAAGATTAGGAAAAGTCTTTATTTCTTTTTGTGCCAAATGTTCTTCATGTATATATTTGCAAACATCAGAATGTTTACAGAGAAGCACTCCTTACAATTGCTGTACAGTGTAATCCAGTTTCTCTCAGTGAAGCTAGGCTCTCTACCACAGGGCTTGGAGAGTGCTGGCTCAATGAATATTTTTTTCCAATGTCATCTGCCAATCTGCCTTGCTTATCAGCCATGTGTAGGCTCCTGGATTTCTTTCCTGCAGTTATCAGACATGAAAGATAAACTTAGGAAGCCAAAGGGAGTCTAACCTAAGCAACCGTGGAACCATCATCATGGAAAAGACCCAGATATACAGAGACAAATGCTTTTAAGGTTCCTCATAGTGAAGGGTCTCTGAAATATAAAGTTATAAAGGCCCAAGAATGAACTTATAATTTATCTGTCCTCTTGAGATTCTACTATTTAGGAGATGAGTATATTTAAAGTATTTTAGGACTTCCTACAAGTTTTGGATTCCTGGACAATCGTTTCTAGTCCTGTGATGTTGTCTAGGGTGTCATTTCAAAATAAATAATTGCATACTGAAGTAAGATCCTTCAGTAAAATGATAAAGGAACTAAGATGCTCTCAGTATCAAGATCATTGTCATATGAGAAGTGCTAGCCAGACTATGAATGTAAATTGAGAATATAAATTACTCCTCAGAGTACATGCTAAATAACTATCTTCTCAATTGAGTTTGTTGGAATGGATTAGAGAATTGTGGCTTGAGAAATTGCAAAATTGGGACATGAGGAAACAAAGCTTTAGAGTCTCTTTCAAATTTCCACCATTTCTTGGCTTCCCAATTCATATTTCAAGATACCATGTAGTGTACAAAATATAAAATACCTTCATATTTATTATATAAATAACAAAGTATCATTAAATATTTCTGTCTTTTTCTTTTTCTTTGCTGAAGATCTCTTATGTGCCAGTCACTATACTATGCCCTGAATAGGAGGACAGTTCAGGAAGTCTTAAAGGGATCACAGGGAAAAAAAAAACAGCAAAATTTTGTCAATTACAACACAATTATATTTTAAGAAATGTTGGTGAAAGCACAGAGGAGGGAGCTACTAACTTTCATTATTCAGATGAACTTGGATTGAACTCTTAACATTTAGTCATCTGAAGGAAGGGATTTTCTGAGCAAATAAACAATCTCAGTAAGAACATAGGTGCCATTTAAACTATCAAAGAGAATTTACTTTCTTTAAAGGCTTTCCTATACTACTTTGTAACATGTGGCCTTGTTTCTAAACTGGACTCTAAGATCTATGTGAAGAGAGACCTTCTATAGTGGCAGCCTCATAGTAAAAGCACTATAAATATTTGTAACCTACATATAAATGAACAGCACTACCAAACAAAAAAGGAATTTTGCAAAATGAGTAAAACAGAACTATTCAGAAAGGCACTATGTGCAATTAGGTTGCCATGTTGCATGTATTTAAAATATATCAATATTTATTTAAAGTTACTCTTTTTTAAATTAATTAAGACTATTTTTTTTTTAACTCTGTGAGTCAGTTTTACAAAATGCCTAGAGTGCATCTCTATTACATGCTAATAACCATCACTGAGGAACATTTTACTTTGATAAGGGAGTATAAATTATCCAGGTAACTCTTCTTGTGCATTAAATGTTACTCTAGTGGCTTCAGAACCTTCTGCATCTCAAATACTTTGCCCTCAGCAGAATCAGGCCTATTAAGTGGTATGTGTTTCTCCAAGTACTCACATTTCTGCAGTGGGAGCATTCACACTGGGAAAGAAAAATCTCGATGACTTTAAAAGTTGCAAAACTGTGTTCTTTGTTCCAGATACATTAAACAATGAAGTTGTTGAGAAAAACAGGAATCATAGAAAAGAGGGGCCAAATCATAGGAAAGTTGGCACTATTTAAATAGCTGGAAAAGTAAATTTTTAATGTTTTTATCTTTCAGGAAGTAGGTTTAA